CGCGACCCACGGTTTTTGGTCGGAGGGGGGGGGGTCACGACCCCCCGCCCCCTATCGACACGGATCGGGCTCCGAGTAGCTACCCCCCCCCCCTGTTTGGGCGGGGTCGGCAACATGAAGATGCCGACACCCCCCAAACAAGGGGGGGGTAGCGACTCGGAACCCGATCCGTGTCGATAGGGGGGGGGGTCGTGACCCCCCCCACCCTCCGACAAAAAAACCGTGATTCGCGTGGATTGGTAGGGGGCCGCGAGCCACCGCCAAAGCCGCCTGGGATGCACAGCCGTGCCGGGGGTTCAAAGGAGAGATTCTCGCGTTTTGGCCTCCTGACGGTTTGATCATTCCCAGGGCGATCGCCCAATGGTGGTAAAGTACCATCATTGAAAAGTAACCGCTACTACGACCCCTTACTACTACTACTACTACTACCACCACTACTACTACTACTACTACTACTACTACTACTACTACTACTACTACTACTACTACTACTACTACTACTACTACTACTACTACTACTACTACTACTACTACTACTACTACTACTACTACTACTACTACTACTACTACTACTACTACTACTACTACTACTACTACTACTACTACTACTACTAACTACGACTACGACTACTACTACTACTACTACTACTACTACTACTACTACTACTACTACTACTACTAAAAACTACTACTACTACTACTACTACTACTACTACTAACTACTAACCTACTACTGCTACCGTACTACTACTACTACTACATCTACTACTTTCTACTACTACTACTAACTCACTACTACTACTTCTTACTACTGCTACTACGTTCTACGACACGACCTACGTCGACTTTAACGACGACATACGACGACGACGACTAACTACTACTACACTACTACTATGTCTCTAACTACTACAACTGACTACCACTACTACTACGACTACTACTATACTAACTAATTACGGCTAAACTGCTACTGCACTACTTCATCTACTAACTACTACTAAACTACTACTACACTACTACTACTCTCTACTACATCTTACTACTACATACTGAGCTAACCTACTGCTACAAATAGTTACTATCATTACTACTACTACTACTACCAATACTACTACTACTACTACTACTACTACTACTACTACTACTACTACTACTACGACTTACTACTACTTACATGCACTGCTAACTACTAACTCACCACACTACTACTACTACTACTACTACTACTACTACTACTACTACTACGACTACTACTACTACTACTACTACTACTACTACTACTACTACTACTACTACTACTACTACTACTACTACTACTACTACTACTACTACTACTACTACTACTACTACTACTACTACTACTACTACTATTACTACTACTACTACTACTACTACTACTACTACTACTACTACTACTACTACTACTACTACTACTACTACTACTACTACTACTACCAAAACGACTATCCCGTCAGCCAACCCGGCATGTCCTCGATATTGGCCGCTGGGGCTGAGCACGCGCAGAAAGTGTTGTAACATACCATGCGAGTAGGGAGGGGGGGCGGCGGGAAGGGGGAGCGACGCAGGGGGGAGGAGAAGGATGAGGAGGACGATGAGGAGGAGAAAGAGGAGGAAGACGATGGGCGAGGAGGAGGAGGAGGAGGAGGAGGAGGAGGGGGAGGAGGAAGAGGATGAGGAGGAGAGGGGGAGGAGGGAGCAGGAGGAGGAGGAGGAGGGATGAGGAGGGAGGAGGGAGGGCTCCAAGAGGGCTCCAAGAAGGCCCCAAGAGGGCCCTAAGAGTGGCCCAGAGTGCCTCTGGGGGCCAGCCTCAAGCAGCTCTCGGAGAATTCGAGGCGAAACAATAGTTATACCGATGCGATTGTGACGATGATCATTCCAAGATCAGGCCTCGGGAGCCGTCCATCCTGCGGGCCTCGACTATTTCGCCAGTCAACGACACTGCTCGTATTTGCCTATTGCCATAACGAGACGAGGACCGGGAAATTGATATGGGCTTTCGCGGGCTCTACTTTGGAGACCCAGATCATCCCACTCCATTGCAAGACAGGGCCCAAAGCCGCACAGGCATCCCACTCTCCAAGGAGTACGAGATTAGAATTTGCTTAAATGCTTCCGTGCATTTGCGCCTGTCGCTTCGCTTGGGTTCTGCGTACGGCCGCCAAATCAGCATGAGAGAAACCCAAAACCTCAGAGCCGTACGACGACGCAGGAGCCAGGCCAGTACGCATGACCCCTTGGAGGACTTGTTTGGGCTTCCTTTTAAGTATCTTGCGACACGTGCCAACCTTTTTGGCTCGCTTACGCATAACATTCAATATGCTACGAAGCTTGGGGCGTGCACCGCTGGAGGCGCGACGAGCACCTGCTGTAATGTAAACTCCTGAATCGGTAATTGTTTTTTCTGACCGTCTCAGTCAGCATCTGGAGACCAGCAGCAACACCCTTAGCTAAACCAGCAGAGGAAGCAGCTACAGCTATCTTACCATTTAGCGTCGCCCTACATTCCGACTGGCAACCTGAAAATCTGTTCCCAGCGTCATTGCCAAATCCAGAGCTCTCTGCCTTTCCCGCCGCAGAGATATGAATTCCTGAGTCGCCAGTGTACGAGATGAAACTGACGAGCGACGGCTGACGGGCAACAATCCAAGCGAAGTCACGAATCGCATGCAAATTGATGCAGAAGTCATTATAGCAGTCGCCTGCTGGCAAGCCTGGCTGGGCATGCGCACAAGCAAGCGAATGATGCTGGCGCAGCCTCAAGATCTCCGGAGCTTGCCAGACATTAAACACTAGTTTGAGCAGCGGTGCGGCCACACGAAAGGCTAAGAACTTGTCACGCAGACGAGCGAGACGGATCGTCTCAAAATGTTTAGTTTAGTCCGCGACTAGAAGCACAGAAAATCGATGGTTTACAACATCGGCTTTGCTCCTCGCCGCTTGCACCCATGCACAATCTACCGCACTCCGACCCACGGTAGCCCCCCAATACCCACGGTCCAGACCGTCCATCATTTCTTTAAGCATGGGGCGGCGCAGCTTTTGCCATATACGGTACATACCAGAGTATAATACAATGAGCCTGTATCCACTGGATGGCTTTGACAACATAGGCATCAGTACCCAGAGCAATAGCCTGGGCAAGAGGCCTAACGCCTCACAACACTGCCAGAGCTTCGCAAGCACACGAAGACCAGCATCATCTATCAACTGGAACTGGCGAGGAGGAGGAGGAGGAGAAGGAGGACGCACTGGCCGTCTTGATTTGCTCCAAAAGAAACAATTGCATAAACATAAAATGTTCGTGGCGCTTCGCGCGGATTTCTTGGATCCGCGCTGGGCTCCCCCACGGCGCCTCCGGCGCCGCCCCTGGCGCGCTCCGCGCGCCAGGGAGTGGGGTCCACCGCGGATCCAAGAAATCCGCGCGGAACGCCAAAGGTTTATGCTTATGCAGCTTTTTCTCCTTCTATCCAAACGCCACTGGCCGGGTATTCCGTGCGGGAGGATACCCCAGGAACGTTCTTGGCACTTGTGCGTGGGCCCTCGAGGAGGCGTGCGGGTCTTCGGCGCACCGTGGCTCCCAAGGGGGGGGGTTGGGCGCCTCCCCCAGGGACCGACCTTTCCCTTCGCGCCTTTTTTCCACGGTCGGGCCTGCGTGAAAGCCCCCCCCCCGGTCGACGAGACGGAAGGGCGACCTTTCGCTGCAGTGACCTCTGGTGCGGGTCCAAAGGGTTCCCCCGATCGCCGAACGCGACGCGTCAGCAGCGTCCTGCGCGTCTGTGTTTGGTCACCCCGCGGCCCCCACGAGGCCGCGCGCCAGAGGTCACTCCTGCCCAGAGGTCACTCTTGCGCGCAGCCGAGCGAGAGCCCCCGGGGGCAGCAACACAACACACTGTCCCTCCGTCGTGGCATTTCGTTCACGGCGCGAGGGTGTAGGAGGAGGAGGAGGAGGAGGAGGAGGAGGAGGAGGAGGAGGAGGAGGAGGAGGAGCGGGTCCTGGACCCCCCCTATGCAGGGCTTTCCCCCGGGAGCTGCCCGCCGCCCTGGGCCAGGCTCGTCACCTGACTTCCTCGGGGCCCCGCCCGAGAAGAACCGCGAAGAGCCTCGTGGTCCTCTCTCCATCGGGACCCCCTCCCCAGGTCTCCGTTGACATTGTGTGTTCAAGCCGTGCGATGTTCCTCGACTTCGGCCGCAAGGGTCCATGACGGTCGGACCGAGGTATAAGATCGAGGTCGGTTCGGGGAGGGTACCCTGTTGTTCTTCGTGTTTGTTGGCTGATCTTGTGCATCTTGGCGAGAGTACCCTAGGATGTTTTGTGTGTTCTTGCCTGCGGAGGGTCTCATGTTCTTGAAGGATGTTATTATGTCTTAGGTCCAACTCTACCAGGCCCTAGGACCATCAAACATTGATTCAGGACGACAAATGCCCCCAAGGGACGGGGTCGGGAGCTGTGGGACTTCGGAACGAGGTCATACCAGATGAGGTCTGGGCTTTCTTCATGGCGAGCCCTGAAGTCTCCACGAACCTTTAGGCGACCCCGGGTGCCTCCAGGGGCAACCGCCGCAAGCCCCGACATCCTCCGATATGCTTTTTGCTGCTCAATCTGCGGCCCCAACGCGGCGCAGTGCCATTGGAAGACAAATATCTCGTCGTAGGTTTGGAAGGCCACCCAGGTCCTCTGTAGAAGACCCTCGGACCCAGAACTCCGATGTCCTGTTTTTTTAATGCGGGTGCCCCAGAAGCTCTCCCCACTCCTGGGGACGGGGGACAGGCGTCTCCTCCTGAGTCGTTTTTCGACGGTCCTGGGGCCGGGCGCGGGCCTCTCGGGATAACAGAAACCAACGAGAATTTGCCGCTCTGTTCTTTCCGATGCGTTCTGGGAGAATGGCCGTCCGAGGGGGCCTTCGGAGGGCGCCATCGGCGGAGGACGCTGGGGCGCCCTCCGAGGGCTTCTGGAGGCCTCCGTCCGGACCCCGCAGGCGCCTCTCACCGCGCGCGAGCCCGGGGTGTACGCGGCCCGGGTCCCCGGCGCGGTGCCGGGCTCCTACGTCTACCCGGCGCACTACTCCACCGGCCAGGCCTCGCCGCCCGATCCGACGACCTGGGCCTCCTCACCTCGTGGACGGCATCGCGACGGGAGTTGTTGTTTCTCTGTTGTTCTTTCGTCCTCCATGGAGACCTCGCCGAGCCCCACTCGGAGCCGTCTGAGCACGACCCGGGATGAGATGCCGGCTCCAGGGGAAAATCGAGACTTGCAAAGGTGGAACCATCACGACGTCGGGGGGCCTGGGTGCGACGATGGCGACGACCGACGGCGGCGGCGACCACGACCACGACCACGACTACGTCCACGACCACGACCACGACCACGACGACGACGACGACGACGACGACGACGACGGCGACGGCGACAACGTAGCCATGCGACCGCGTATAACTCCGCCGCGATGCACGGTTTCCCCCGGGGAGGAGGGGGAGGAGGGGGGGGGGAGGGGGAGGAGGAGGAGGTGGGAGAAGGTGGAGGAGGGGGACGAGGCGGAGAAGGAGATGGGAGGAGGAGGAGGGAGTAGGAGGGAGGAGTAGGAGGGAGGAGGGAGGAGGAGGAGGAGGAGGAGGAGGAGGAGGAGAGAGGGAGGGAGGAGGAGGAGGAGGAGGAGGAGGAGGAGGAGGAGGGAGGAGGAGGAGGAGGAGGAGGAGGGGATGGGAGGGAGGGGGAGGGGGACGGGTCGCCCAAGCCCTTCGGAGAAACTCCCCACGCCGCGATCCACGCCCCCGGGGAGCCCAGGCCGCGAGGGCGCGGTTCAAGGGTGGACCTGCTTTCGCCTCGCGCGGGAGTCGAAGGGCCCCGCCGCCTTGGCCGGCAGAGAGGTCCGGCCCCCGTGTGCACGGGCGGGGGGGGGGACCTTTGCGCGAGAAGCGGGCGGGCGGTCAGATTCAGTCCAACCTGTCCCTCGGCAGGGGGACGATTCGAAAATAGTTAAGATAGTCTGGGGGTGAGTTTGGGAGTCTTCTTGACACTCGTGGAGTCTTTTTTAAGGATTCTTGATTTTTCAATCAAGATCCGCCCGCAGGGGGAAGTGCCCGACCTAATGGTAGTGGGGGGTGGCCCACATGGGGGGTGGAGAAAAGGGCCCTAAAGGGGGTCCTTTCGGGCCCCTTTTGGGCACCAACTGGTTCCAAAAGCGGCCCGCCTAAAAGGGGCTCTTTGGGGTTGTTGTCTTCACCTCCCCTGTGGGTCACCCCCCATTCCCGCCCGCCCTCGGACGAGCTCGAGAGGGGGGGGGGCCGCCCTCGCAGATCGATCCTGAAAGGGACAATGCCTCATGACGCCGACCGTGATGCGTCATCATGCTGTAAGTGGACTCGTGGTCGTCGGATGATTTCCGGGGAGCCTGTGAGAAGACGCCAACACACAGATGTTTGACGTTTTGACGCGCGCGCGCTCGCGCGGAAGTTTCTTTTGCAAATCGGTGTTGCGAAACCATTTGTGTTTTGTATGTGTTTGGGGAACTCGATTGCAACATCCTTCTGGCACCGAAGGTTTTTGAAGGATTTCGGCATGCGCGCGCGACGACGCGCGCGTGCGCACTTCGTTTTATTTTTGCAAAGGATTCGTGCAACAAGTGTTATGTTAGAACAAAAAATATCACCGCATACTTTTTTACTAGGGAACCGCAGGGGAGAAACCGGTTTGGCTGGGATGAAATAATTTCATATTTAGGATGGACGAGTGTGCATACTATATGTATATATCTCTCTCTATATATATGTATATATATATATATATATGACATCATACTATCCCAGGGGGAACCGATAAGTCCGGGGGGGGGGGGGTAGAGTCTATTCTCTTTTTTAGAACGGAGAATTGACTCACCCCTTGAATTGAGTTGGCCACTCCACTGTCTTGCAAACATCCCACCCACCCACCCGCAACTTGGTCGCAAGACCTATTCAAGTCGTGACTGCAGTTTCCCATCGACGACAACGGCGACGGCGACGACGACTACAACGACGGCTGCGACGACGACGACGACGACGACGACGAGGGGGACGACGACGACGACGACGACGACGACGACAACGGGGAAGATGACGACGACGACGACGAGGATGATGCGCGCGGCCGCGCTCATGTGCCCCGCATGGTATTATTTGGCAGGGTTTGTGCCTCTGGCACTTGATCTTGAAACTGTTGAACACACAACTTGTTCGGAAGGATTTCGACACCCGCGCGCGGCGGCCGCGCGCGTATGCCCCGCACGTCCAACCAACCAGCCAGCCAGCCAAATCGGATCGACCTACCTACCAGCGCACGGACAGCGTTACATGTGAAAGTAGATAGGCGGGGAGAAGAGGGCGAGAGGGAAGGCGGTGGCAGCAGCGGCGGAGGCTGGGTGGCTGAGGGTAGCTGGGCGAGCAAGCTAGGAGGGGGAGAGGGAAACGTCGAACTCGCCCTCGGGAGGGCGTGTCGGGCACGGGGGCCCTCGGACCTCGGACGCGGGCCCGCGGCGGCGCCTCCACTGTGCCTCTCATCTCTCCGTTCCGCCGAAGGTCCCCTTGCCTACGATGCTGGCTCGATGCAGACCCGGACCGAGACCGGGCGGTTCCGGAGGCCCCCGGGGCACGACGCAGACAAGACAACGTCGGAGGTCTGGGTCGGCCAGGCTGCTGGGCCAGCCCTCGGTCGGCCCCGGGAACGTGAAGCATGGACTCCAGACGAGACGCCCCCCCTGGAGAAAGGGTCCAGACCCACTGGGGGGCCACGGCGCAAGAGCCAAGTGAAAAACGGCTGGGGTTCGAAGGCCCGTCTGACGGGACTGCTTACCAAAAACATCAGGACGGACCGGTCGCCTAACCCCGGGCGTCCCCGAAGGTTCGGGGGTGCGCTCCCCCCCCCCCGGGCCCCCGAGGAACACCTGGAGCCTGCCGAAAGGGGGTGTCCCTGGCAGGCCGGAGGAGAGGAGCGAAAGGGGGTTGGGTCGGAGAGGAGGCCCGGGAGGACAGGTCGGAGGGGAGGCCGGGGAAGGAGGGTCGGATGGGGGGGCTGGGAGGGAAGGTCGGAGAGGAAGAGTGGGAGTGAGGGTCGGACAAGAGGACTGCGAGGGAGAGCCAGGGACGACCGGGCGGCAGGGCCGGAGGGGAAGATGGGGGTGGGTGGGTCGGAGAGGTGGACTGGGAGAGAGGGTCGGAGGGGAGGGCTGGGAGGCAGGGTCAGAGAGGAGGACTGGGGGAGAGGGTCGGAGAGGAGGACTGGGAGGGAGGATCGGAGGGGAGGACTGGCAGTGCCGGAGCAGCCCAGCAAAGTGGTGATAGATATGCCGTTTAGAGAAACAATCGAGCACACAATTTCCGCAGGGAATCGTGTCCTCCATGATCCCCCCCTGAAGAGGCGACCCGCTCGGCCGCCCCGCCGGCTCGTTCGCTCCGCGCCCGCTCCGCTCCGCACATGTGCGCGCGGAGGCCGCGCGCATGTGCGCCTTATGGCATTATCTTACCAGGGATGGCGCGTCCGGCAAGCACGCGGAGGTTGTTGAGTTAGTTCGACGTGCGAGCGAAAGTGGCCCGTGAAGGCCCATTCGACAGGAATGTTGAAAAACCATTGGCTTTTGAAAGATTATGCAAGAACGCGCGGGCAGACTTTCCAAAGTGTTCGGGTGAGAAAGTAGTATTTTTACCATGAATTATTGAAATCCGCTCTTGAAATTGTTGAAATCACCGTGTTTTTAGAAGGACTTCGACATGCGCGCGCGGCGGCCGCGCGCATGTGCGCCTTATGGTTTTATGTACAAGGGATTATTGAAGCAAGTGTTATGTTAGAACCAAACATGTCACCGCATAGTGTTTTTTACAAGGGAACCTCAGGGGGGGTAACCCAGTTGGCCTGGGACATTGTGACTTCATATTTAGGATGGACATGTGGTTAGAACCATATGTGATTTACATAGGACGCGGGGGGAGTGATAACGCCGGGGGGGGTAGAGTCTATATCTCTTTTAGAAGGGGGAATACTGGCCGATCTGTGTTGCGGAACCCATGTGGTGCGATGTACATTGCCATCGATGGTGTGCAATAACTGTCGCCGATCTACGTTGTGAATATATGGTCCGCAATGTACTTGGTGAAGTCTACGCGGCGCAAGCATTGTGATTAAACGTACGTGTTGCAAACTATGCGGTGCAAGTTACGTTTGCAATAGTTGGTGTGCCATCTGCGTCGTGCAACCGATGTTGTGCGATCTATGTTGCGCAGTCTGTGGTGCAAGCCACGTGGTGCAGTACATGCGGTGCAGATCTGCGTGGTGCAATCTAAGCGGTGCAAGCTATGCGGTGCCATTTTTGTTGTTCGCAGTGAG